CTGAAACTTTGCAGTTATGTAGTACCACATATGTACAACAATCTACCAAAGTTTCAGCGAATTTGCTTTTGTAGAATGCGAGAACGGTGAATTCTTAAAATCGTTTCAGAATATCTGGAACACCCTTTAAAGGTGAAATTTCTTTTATATGTAACTAATCATCCTAAGTATTTGCAAAATGTTTCAGCGTCATATGATTCTTAATTAATAAAAAGATTTTACAATTGATTAACAATCATGATTTAATTTTTTTTCTCTTGATGAATTTATTTTCCGAAAAAAATGTTTTTAAAAAAATGATACATAAATTAGAAATTAATATATCAGCTATCTACTATATTATCATTACATCACCGATTTCAAAGATATTTAAGTTCCGACACCAGATATGTCTTAGAACCGTTCACCTACATAAAAATCGAATATCTAACCTTTTTTAGACGAGAAAATGTTCAAATTCAAAATTACATTTTTACTTAGTTAGTAAAAGACCAATAAATAACATAAACGTAACACTTGCTATGGAGTATCTGGTGATTAAGAGAATTCCAGTTATCTAAGTGAGTTATATTGAATCGAATAGAGCGTGTAAATAAACGAGGAATGGAGTCCATAAAAAAAAAAAATTTATAATATTCTCAAAATTTTAAATCAAATCAATTTTGTCAATAAGAAATTTATATCTATAATGACGAACACAAACAGAACAGATTAGTCTTCATTATTATTACATTTTTTTTCGTTTGTGCCACTGTTGTTCATCATAGAAAGGAGTTTAGATGTTTTCACAAATTTAATTATAATATTGTCGGGCACTGAAACACTTTCATGCTTGTAATTATTATCATTATTAATGACGATGGAAAGCACTGTTTTCTTTCTCGATCCATCAATCGAGTTACTATTTTGTATCCCAATCACCTAATATTGAAGAGTTGTACGATTTTCGTTCAAACATTATTACAAAGTTACATATTTCTATGTCAGCAACCGTAGTAGCTAATTCGAGTGTTGCTGCCATCTTTCGAAGTTTTCCTCATGTTGATAATCCTGGATTAAAATTTAAAATGTCTGCTTTCGTTTGATTAGATGAAAATCATGCTATAGTTTGTTTTTACTACTATTTGTCAGTAAGAGCATAAATTCATTTCAAAATCATATCAATAAAATCATGTTCACTTGTAAATCACAATTCATAATATCTGTTTATATGAGGATGGCGTAGATTTTGATTAATTAGGTAATAAAGCTTCAGAATTTTTATAAATTTGATAAATAATGTACTTATCCTTTTCAAATGCCACATATAATAACAATCGGCCAGAAATTTTGACAAAAAATTGTTGTATATGGTACGATCTATTAGGAGTCTTTTAAAGTGATTCCATTATATATATATACTCAATTCCAAATATTTTTTTTTTTGACTTCTGCATTCTATTTCTCTCAGTGATAGAGAATCAGATCGAATTAGACAGAAAAACCAATGAAAAGTATAAAGTTATTTTCTGATTTGCCATAAATTTGAGATTTTTGTATCGGAATCCAGTTAGTGTCGATCTTCGATGGTATTCCATGGCTGAAAATCGCGGTAAGTGACATCACGATTTTTGAAACTTGAAATAGTTGTCATGGATTCCAGAAAAAAATGTTTTCTGTATTTCAATCGCAACATACCTAGACTGTAAATTAGGAAATAATTTATAGAGAACGACAAAGGATATTCTAGGAATGTCCAAATGAATTTCTAGTTTCTTGGAAGTACGATATTCAAGAAGATATAAATAAAAAAAAAACTTAATTTTCTAATTAGAAAATTGAAAGTAGATTCGTGTACAATTTAGTAATTGGAGCATCTTTCAAAAATTTGAAAATCAAATTTCATTTTCATTGCATAATCAATTTCTTTTATATATTTTAATTTATTAATGAAGATACAATGCACAAAAAAACAATCAAATAAAAAGAATTAATTCAAAAACTATTAATAATAAAAAAAAATTATATATAAAAATATCATTCAGAACTTCTTATGCTGCTTGCATCTTTGCTGAAGTTTCTATTTTGGGTATTTTTTACGATCTAATTAAAACATTTATAGCTTCGACTTTTGATTTTGTCGTAATAAGTATATTGTATTGAATAAGAAACAAATAATTATTAGTATTTTTAACTGTTCGTATCATATCATCGAATAATCATCAATTGTTTCCTAAAATAAGCCATGATAAAGTTCAGCAATGAATATTATACAATCATTTAAATGTTCAATAGATTACTCATATGGCTTAATAGGTTTTTTAGTATTGGTAATGTTTCATAATCATGTGTTCTTCTAAAACAAAAAAAAAGAGAGACTATTATCCATTTCTGAAAATAAGTCGCTTGAGCAGAATTCTTATAACTTTTGAAAGGAAAATGATAGAAACCTGGGATTTTCACCGTTGGATAGAGAACATTAGGGCACGTAAAGCTATGTAAAAAAAAGATCTGTTAGACAAGGTACGTGTTTATAACTTTTTAATAAATTTGTGGAAAACTGCTAAAATAAGCTTCAATTTTAGAAATCTGAAATTTCCTTTTTCTTACAGGAAATCCTTCTCTTTCAAAAAGGGCAACTTCAACATTTTATCTTGTTGAGTTCAAATGATGCAGAGGCACTGTCTATTGTATATCTGATGTGTGAATCAGTTGTCTACTGAGGTTAAATCTCAAGAATAGGCATATTTTATGTAATTTTCATCCAAATTTGACGACGCAGATAACGAGTATTTTTATGGATTGACCCATCGGTTTTTACATAGACTTATGTGTCCTGATGTTCTCTATCCAACGGTTAAAACCGCAGCTCTCTATGACTTTCTCTTCAAAAGTTATAAAAGTTCTGCCCAAGCGACTTATTTTCAGAAATGGATAATAGTTAATATTAATTAAATATATTACCTTCAGTAATATTTTCTTTTCTTGAATGATCTTTATATTTCACTATCTTTACACTACTTGATCAAATAGATCAGAATAACGACGATTGATTTCACGTGTAAGTTGTTCATGGAAATAAATAAATACAAATATATGTGTATATGATATTGATACTATGCTGGATTTTTCCAACAAGTTACTCAAAGTTAACAATAATTCAATGACTTATTATACAATCAAAAATAAGACACTCTTTACAGTTACCGATTTGGTTATTGATAAACCTGGATATAATTTCTATAATTTTATAAATTCTTTTCATCTTTCAGACAAGACATTGACCATGCACATACGTTATGTTCATTTAAGCTATAACTTGATCACAATCATAGTTGGTTGCATTAATTAAAACAAGCTATGATTCTTCTTTTTGACACTATTGAATCGAAGAATCTTCTGATTATTCTTTTTATTTGATTAAATATTGTTGAAAAGACAATAAGTCAGAGAATAAAGCAATCGTTTGATTCTTACTCGAGGAGATACATAGTGAACCTTAATAAATTTAAATATTCATCTAATGTTTGATGACCATATGATTGTTGCTTTTTTGACTAATACTTCAGATAAATAATCCGATACTTGTCGATCACGAGAGAATTGTTGTTTCGATGTTGATGTTAATCAACGTTGAATAAGAAAAAAAAACTAAGTAAGAATGAGAGAAGTATTCGATCTTGTATCAAAAATAGCATATGTTTGACAAATATTTTACCAAGTGTTGAATATCTATTTTTCATGAAAACATCATTCCACTGAATTCAAATTCTGTTGAATAAAAATCAATACGAGAAGTATGAACTACATAATTACGAATCATTTCAACTAATTGTTGTTGCTTTCCATATCGTACAATAAAGTCTGATGGTGATGAAACTTCAACAGCTTCTTCAAAAGCTTTATTATATCTAGGCAACATATTTTTTTATTGAAATATTTTTCCTTGCTTGAGATGTTGTTCAGATTGTTAAAGAATTATCTGATAGCTGATGGATAATTTAATCAAGTAGTGCATTAAGAAGTAATAAAGTATTTGAACTTCATAAAGATTGATCAAGTGATTGATTTGATGTATATTAAGTCGATAGAAAAACTTTCAGTTAGTCCTAATGATCAATAACGTGATATTCAGTATCAAGATTGAAATAATCGAAAATGATAAATTATTTGATTCATTGGTGTACTATTGGTATATAAATATATTCCATCAGTTTTCATTTTATGCCACGATGGTACTAAAACCAAAAAAAAAGAAAAGAAAAGGAAAGCACAGCTGATCATTTAATACAAATGAATGAACATTAACTTGCTAGTTTAATATAATACTTTCTTTCAATATCTCTGTTTTTTTTTCGAACGCTATTTTGACCACAAACGGTTGGTTTGGTAATAATCTTATCAACTTTAATAAATAATCATAGTTCTTCAATTGGTCATGAACTTAAATTTAACAATAATACAACCTCAATTTTTTCTTCTAAAATAAATTTCATAACGGGCTCAACCATCAGTTAATAAGTAAGTCATCAAAATATTTTTATTTTTTCTCATATCCATCAAAAAAATTCTTGATCAACCACACGAAAACATCTTCATTGGTTCATTTCATAAATAATATATGTATAGATATCTAAAATAGATTAGAAAATTACAACTACTCTTCCACACTCTTGTTTATTTCGAACACTTCCTTTTTTTAAAAAAATATTATTCATATATGAAAATTAAATTATTATTTATATAAGATAATCCCGATGAATTATTCATGATAAATGAGGAATATAATATGTTGTTCTTTGCGAAGATATGTTACGAGTTAAAAAATGTTGTTGACTAGTAACCTAAGGTAAAAATGTGTTTATTCGTATTAATTGAAGCGAGAAAAAGAAAAGTGAGAGAAAAGTAATGAGGCGTAACATCAATATAAATGCACATAATGGCAGCTTTGTTTGTTCACTTAAATGAATACATACGTTTGTATAAAACGTGAAGATAAGTTTTTCTATTGCTAAATCACTTTTGTGCTATTCATTCTCTATCTATTTATTCATTTCGTACCTATTGGTGTGTTTACACCAACCACTTATAAAAAACAAGTCAATAACAAGGACACAATACATGTTGCACTAGCAGTTCTAAAATGGCTAATAATAAAAATATGAATCCTGAGAGTATGGTCAACATATACAATGCCAATATAACTGGCAGTGCTAGGAAGAGAAATGAATATGAAGATGCAAAAGACCTCGGTATGTTGATTTTTGTGTACCAAATAATAATCAATAAAATTTACTTTTAAAGTTTTCAAAATTATTGTAACGCGCGCGATATTCGAAATTAAAATTGAGTTTTGTTTTGCCTCGTTTTTATATATAGTTTTATAGAGCATGAGCTGTTGATAACGAAAAACTAGTTTTGAACGCTTACGAACGCTTTTCTGCTGAAAATCCCAAAAAACTAGGTTCATGGTTTTTTTTTTAACAAAACATCTGTTTCAAATTACACAACTTCTTTGATTCATTCTACCTGATAAATTCTGAAAATAATTTTTTCAGATTCAGCATGAAAAATTGAGTGTAAAAACCATGTTAAATCAGTTTTAGTTCAAAAACTGTATTAATGATGGGTACTGTCTAGTCTTGTGTAGGGCCGCTTATGAGTCATTTTGTAAGCCTATGTAGTTTTTCTGTTTAGGTGATGAAGACAAATACTTTAGTTATTTTAATTCATCGTACTATGGATCACAAAAGTAGCTATCGGTTTTTATTTTTATTTTTATTTTCATTGCCGAGAAAAGTCATTTTCAATGAATTAGGAACAAAATAGCTAAAATTCTGCTCGTAATTCTCATTTTTCATGTTCAAAATCAAGTTTTTATGTGATAAAAGTGTTATATTCGTGGTCAGCGTAAAAAAAGGAGTTGATTGATGTAGTTTTCCACAGTTTTTGTGATCTTTCACGTTTTGCTGACAATGCCCGTTGTAATTTTAGATGGAAATTCGAAGAAAAGGTGAAGTCATGGAAAACAAAATAAGATCTATATCAATCGACTCAGTTTTTTACGAGAACTCTAAATATAACAATTTTATTACATAAAAGAATGAATTTGAAAAATAAAAATGACGGGCAAAATTCTAGATGTTTGCTCTACAATTCAATAAAAATGATTTTTCTTGGGAACGTAAAGAAAAGGAAAAAAATCGATGTGCATTTTTGTGATCCATGGTACGGTGATTTAATGACAAAGAATAAATTTGAGAAATATACACACATTAACTAAATTTGAACTGTTTCACTATATATACACTTCGAAAATGCAACTAAGAGAGACGCAATAGAAAGGAATTAGAAAACAGTAATTTTAGACGATGATAACTATTGTATAAAATAGATGTCCAAAGTTAAGAAGTACTCCTTTCCATAATATCTCATTTCTATAATTTCAATCTCTCACACATATCATAAATAAATGATTCGTTCGACGTATGAAAGAATATTGCAATAGATAAACTTCTATACTCTGTTAATATTCCGGATTTATTGTACTTTCAATAGCGATAAACCAGCCAGTAGTAAGCAACAGACACCATCACCCACCTCTCCATCTTTGCAACCTCAGCAACGATTCTCTGGATCATAACAACGAAGCTAGTTACAATAACTTATACGACTACGACAACCAGGTGGATGACGATAGCCAATTTGACGACGACAACGCAGTAGACGACACCAGATCAGAAAAAGCACAACCATCATCCGAACCAAAACAATTAAATTTGCTACAAACACCAATCGCACCAAGAAAACAAAGCGGACAACTATCACCAGATGGAACCACCAATCCGCCCGCAACGCAACCACCAAAAGCAACAATAAATCCACCTGTAACACAACTACCAAATGGAATAACAAATCCACCCATAACACAACCACCATCCGGAGAGAAAAAGACATCTGTCACACAGCCATCACCAGAACAAACTAAACAACTCGTCACACAAATACCACCTGGGCAAACAAAACAACTTGTCACGCAACCATCACCAGGAGAAACTAAACCATCTGTAACACAACCACTACCTACACAAACTAAATTACCTATCACACAGCCACTACATGGACAAACAAAACCACCTCCCGAGCAAGTAAAACTACCCGTCACACAACCGCTACCTGAACAAATAAAACCACCTGCCACACAAACACCATCTGGGCAAACGAAACAACTGGTCACTCAACCACCACCTGGAGAAACCAAATCATCTGTAACACAACCATCACTGACACAAACCAAACCACCTGTAACACAAGCATCTCCCGAGCAAATAAAACCATCTGTCACACAACCACCTCCAGGGCAAACAAAACAACTTGTCACACAACCACCATCCGGAGAAACTAAATCATCTGTAACACAACCACCACCTACACACACTAAACCACCTGTTACACAACCACTACCTGCACAAACTAAACCACTTGTAACACAACCACCATCAGGGCAAACAAAACCATCTGTCACACAACCACCTCCGGGGCAAACAAAACAACTTGTAACACAACCACCATCCGGAGAAACTAAACCACCTGTCACGCAACTCCTACCTGGACAAACTACACCACCTATCACACAATCACCTCCAGAGCAAATAAAACTACCCGTCACACAACCGCTACCTGGACAAATAAAACCACCTGCCACACAAACACCACCTGGGCAAACAAAACAACTGGTCACTCAACCACCACCTGGAGAAACCAAATCATCTGTAGCACAACCACCACTGACACAAACTAAACCACCTGTTACACAACCACTACCGGCACAAACTAAACCATTTGTAACACAACCACCATCCGGGCAAACAAAACCATCTGTCACACAACCACCTCCAGAGCAAATAAAACTACCCGTCACACAACCGCTACCTGGACAAATAAAACCACCTGCCACACAAACACCACCTGGGCAAACAAAACAACTGGTCACTCAACCACCACCTGAAGAAACCAAATCATCTGTAGCACAACCATCACTGACACAAACTAAACCACCTGTTACACAACCACCACGGAGATCAACAGAACCAAGCGATCCTTCAACTGTTCAGAGACAAGCTATGCAACTAATTCAACAACAGAAAATGGACCATGATATTCGTCATCTTTTACAATACCATGATATGGACGATATCGATATCCTTGTAGTGGATGATGGGCCAGTACATCGTTTACTTTTAGTTCATCCAGAACGACCATTACCTGTTGATATTCAACGACTCGAAAACTTACGTCGCCGATTACAAACTCAGGATGAAGTTAAATCAGTAGTACCTCAGAAAGTAGTTACACCAGTAGTATCTCAGAAGATAGTTGCATCAGTAGTACCTGAGAAGATAGTTACACCAATAGAACGCCAGAAAGTAGTTACACCAGTAGAACGCCAGAAAGTAGTTACACCAATAGAACGCCAGAAAGTAGTTACACCAGTAGAACGCCAGAAAGTAGTTACACCAATAGAACGCCAGAAAGTAGTTACACCAGTAGAACCACAAAAACAACGTATAGATGATGGACAATGGCAAGGATTACTAACTCAAGAAGAAAAACGAGCAATTATGGACGCTGTTATACAACAATTGATACCATTAATTGAAGAATCGGCTTTAGGTGCATTAGAGCAAGTATTAATTCGTCGAAATACCCAATATGATGGTAATGGTTTCATACCTTTCCCATTTATGTTTGACGGTAGTGTATTGATTTTAGTCGCATCACATGAAGGCCTATCATCAGAAATGTTTCAACGACTACAACAAAAACTAGCAACTACAGTTATGGTAAGAAAACAATTAAATTCAATTTATATTTTGTTGATTCCACTAGGAAACTAATTTTGGTGAAGTCCCAGATGATGCTGCGTTGGTTCCTTCTGCATTACATATAACAATGACAAGTGATTTAACAGGAGAAGATGTTCAAGACGAAATAGATACGTATTCGAGGAATGAACCACCTTCTCCTCAAGATTCCATTAGTGGTCCTGAATTTGTCGAAGGCTATTAAAGGATATCTTTTTTAATGTCAAGATGTACTTTTATTTTTTTTGTATAGATTTCATGATGCTGGCTGACGAGGACCAAATGATGAATGATCAATCTCATAGTCAACCATCAAGTCCTCTACCTTATTATTAACTCTCTCATGCAAATGCTTCATTTTCTTTTGTCTTTTTACCTTTTTTTTATTTCAAATAGTTTAGTGCAGTGTTATCTTGAAATTCTTTCTTAGATTTTGATTTATTATAGTGTAAGAAGGGAATATATCTCCATAGTCAAAATAAATTGAACACCATATTTTTCGATTACTTTTTCCCATTATTGTTGTTCTCTCTCATATTTATATCACAGATATATGAGTGAGGAGCGCAGATATTGCAGCATTCGAGCGAAAAAAGATCGATAAAAATGAAATTAATAAGAAGAGGCAACGAGAGTTGCATTTGATAGATCAATGTCCATTTTGTATGAAAGCAGTATTTTCCCAACACTTTTCTGTGTCAGAGCCGATGTCTGTATGCTATTCTGATTTTATATGAATCAGCGTTAATGTGTGAATATTTCAAAAAATGTAGCTCTATACTTTTCCTAGTAAGAGTAAATTTTCTCTCGAACGGAGAAAGATTTTTGCTTCACTTTTTGAGATGTTATCCTACTATAGAATTCAAAAAGGATAAAAATTTTGTGGAAAATGGTTAAGTTTTCATTGATTTATAGTAGTAAAAGAATTTAATAAGCCGCTTTACATCCAGGGTGAAAAACATTCTTTTGTTTAAAATTTTTGTATTGACGTAATTCACGAAACAGACTCTTTTACTTCTCAAATTATTTCCCCTTTAGTTCTCTTTGATATTCAATAGAGATAATTCAAATGATGCTGCTTCAATTTGAATGCTAGGAATTTTAATGTCGACCTACACAAAAATGACATGTGTCGTAACGCTGATTATCCATAGTTTTTCATTCATAAAACTTTGCTTAAAGCTGAAACCAAAGACGCATTCTAAAAGCTCTTGCAAAGTTCTACAAGTTTAGCTGAAAAAATAACTTTAAAAAAAAGTTGCAGTGGAATAAATAAGATATTAATTGACTTCTGACAGGTGGCATCAGAAGCTACGTATATGACGTATCACTATGATTTCTCAGAAATTAAAGCAGATAGAAAGTTAATTTTTTCAGAAGTAAATGACCATCTTAAGACAAGTAAAACAACAAAGAGCTTATTAAACCCGGCTGAGTAGAGGTCAATTTATAGACATTTTTACTTTTGGAACACAACGGTACAATTGCTGTGCTCTTCAATCAATTGTTCGATTGCTTAACTTTTGCTGAAAATTTCAGTCCTATAGAATAAAAACTAGCGTAGAAAACAGCAAATACAGTCAGTGTCTCTAATAACGATGGCAAAATTTTCACTTGTTTTGTTTGACTTCGTTCTTGGCTATTTTACATTCGTTTGAAAATGTTTTCATATATGGATAATCCGTGGATATTGCTCTTTCGAATGGTGTGTTCACAGCCTTTCTGAACCATGCAACGGAGGAAAACTCAGTGGCCTACGATAAGGTAGTGTGTCTGCCGTTATTAGGAGCAGTTTCTCTAATAACGACGCTTAGCGAAATTCAAGCGAAAACGCGTACTTTTTCGAGAAAAATATTCTTCTTCACGGTATCGATTTGAACAAAAAAAGAAAAGACCTCGCTGGCAATATTGTAGAGCATGTCAAGTTCTATCATCAGTTAAAGTTTCATAAGAAACCGATTTTGACTTGATGAGATACGTAACGTCAAAGAAAGAGATCTAAAATCGTTTTAAAAAAGGGTCCCTGATAATGACGTATCATTAGAAACTTGTATGAATAGTTTTCTTAAAATTTTCGACATTTTTCACTTCTGTTTGGGACTGAATCAGTTTTGGTAACAAATAAGCTGAAACTGACAAAAATGTAGTTGCATCAGAAACGAGAAGCTCATCAAAAACATGCAAAAATTAATTATCTTAGAAACTTTCGATGAATCTGAGCAATTAAAGTATATCATTTTGAAGAGCATTAAAAACCATTAAGATACTTCAAATGACCCATTTCGACGGATTTGACAGCGCATAGTTTTGGAAAAAATAAGCTGATTTGATGCTTGATAACAACATGATCTATTAGAGATATCATAATTCAAAAATCAGGATAGCCATTTTTCTCCCTCATTGCTCTTTGAAAGACATATTGATTGAAGCGTACCAATAGCTTTTACAAATAGAGTGTAATTAAGAGTACCAAATCTTTTTTAATATGGAAGAAATAGAGGCAAGGTAATAGAAAAACAGCTTTGGACAAGTTTTAAAAGATACTATTTCTTTGTGTCCTCAATATAGGAAGAGAATCTTTGGTAGTCTTTAGTATATCTGTGAAGTCTTGGTCTAGTTTTCATATTTTTTTGAAAATCCTTCGCTACTTTTCAGTAATCGAGCGACTATGCTTAGAACAGTCATAAGAGAAAACACCCCTGCGATGTTCCAAAAGGAAATAAAACGGCGAATCCTACGAAGCCATGAAAGAAAGTCAAAATTATAAAGGTCAAAATAATAGAAGAACATAGAACTAGATCAAAGTTGATTACGTAACTATTTATATAATTGTATATTCAGCAACAAAGTTTTTAAGATGACATCTAGAGATGATGCAGACTGTTCGAGTGCTTACGATATTTTTACCATTTTGTTAATCAAGCTATAATCTGTACTATTTTAGTGTTGCTAAAAATAAACGGCGAACTTTGTTATCGACTTACTTTCGAAAAACTAAGACGAAAATCGATTAAAACAATGCACTCACAAATTGTTGAACGATCTTTATTTAAATTCATTTTCAGTAAGTGCTGTTTTCAGTGGATTTCAGCTAGGTGGTGTTTGGCCTTTTAATCCAGAGGCAATGAAGGGAAACGTAGTGCTCCGGTTTTCAACGTACGATAATATCAACATAAATAAGTAAGACATGATAGCATTATTTCTCTCTCATAAAGAATACACGTTAGTTTATCAACGAGTGATCTTTTATCAGTGTTGGTAAATGAAACACAAGCACCTGCTGTTTCTAAAAATGGTGCTAATAATTCATCTGCCTCAACTCTAATGGTTATTGAGTATGTATAGATGATTTCAGCTTTTTTAAAACTCGAGTATCCAGACACAAACTTTTATCGGCATTAAAATTCAAGGCACTCGAATATTTCTTGAATAACTCACAGGAAATGCAAGACAATGGTATAGGGCTTTCAACGATTAAGATGCAACATTGTAAAACATTGTTTTTGATAAGAAAAACCTCTATTTAGAAAAATTCTGTAAATCATTTTCTCAGAGGATGCTTGAAAAGCCACGTTGCATTTTAACCTTTGGAAGTACAACGTACTTTTTCAAAAATCTTCTGAGGAGTCGATTTACAGAATTTCTCTAAATAGAGGTTTTGCATATTAAAAAAATGTTTTACAGTCTTGGGTCTCAATCGCTGAAAACCTTATGCCATTATCTTGTATTTCTCGTGAGTTATTTAGACAACATTCGAGTGCCTTGGATTTTGAGGCCGATGATATCTCGAATAATTTCAAAACTATTGTCTCTATTCTTGCATTAACTAAAATTGATTATAATGCATGAGAGTGTTCATAATATTTTACGTTCTACAGCATGTTCATCTGCTGTAATTTAGAGTGCTTAGATTTTTCTATCACTGATTGCATTTTTATCAAATATATTTTGATGCAACCGTCTTCTCTATTCATGTGTTTGCTCGAGTTATTCCTGCATAATTCTTGCTGCACCAGACTCAATTATTGTACTTTACTAAAAGATTTTTCGTTTGCTTCCCAATCGAATCTTTCAAATAGATGTCTTCATTCTCAAATGACTCTTACTTTACAATATTCCAAACATTCTTCTATATCGTTAATTTTCTATGCACAGCGCTTCATCATCTTCAACTCGACTCAACTTACTTTAGATGATATTGAAGATGATAAAAGGTAAGCAATTAATTAACTTCCATAATTTGTATATTCCTACGACTTATTTTATAGTTTAGTGATTCTGATGCTTCCAATGAACTGAACTAATCCAAAAACAAAAATCAACGTCCAAGGATATAACTCATCAATATCTAAATTCTATTAATGTTTTCTGTGGCCATCCTTTCCATTAACTTTTTTAGAATCGGATAAGCAGTTTGATTCCTTTCTTAATCAAAGGGCTATGAATTTAACCAATACACCATCATCAACAACATATAAAAGTAGTCCTAGATCTGCTGCTCATGCAATAATTTCCTCTTACTTACAAGTTAACAACGTTCCTGTTAAATCAGCACCAGCCAAATCGAACTCACGAGTGCGTCTTGAGTGCAAATTTGATGAAGATATTACAAACGGAAATCTATTATCAGAATTGAGAAAAAAAGCCGAGGCAAAACAAACAAAATAATTAAAGAAATATTGCACAATCACCAGATCCTTGATCCGGAAGGAAGAATTAGTAAAATTTCATATCTTTTACTCCTTGTACATATGCAATTATGTAGCTATCTATTTCTTTTATATTCATTAACATATTTTGTCAGTTTACTTTACTCCATCAATATATGTTCATAAATAATCTAGTAGTTGTTCTTTTTTGCAATTATGAGTGGTTTTCTGGCGTGTGGGTGTGAGTAGAAGAGAGAATAGAAGACTGTTAATGGGGGATTCAATCTAACTGATCGATTAAAAAACTTTTTTATTTTTCCAAAAACATTAGCTATATGTACTAACGAACTAGGAAAAAACTAAATATAATTGAAAGAAAACAGGAACGAGAGGGAAAATAACTTAACAACTTCAAAGAAGATAACGTTGTGGAAAATATCTGAATACGGAGAAAGGAAACGAACAGAAAAAAAAATACATATATATACACATATATGCATACCAGAACAGGAAAGACAGAAAAATGACAATATCATATATAACTGATTTACATTAT